AGGCGATCATTTTGTTACTAAAATTGTTACAACTCGACGCCTTAGGATAACCAAAGCAAAAAGTTTATTTGAATGAAGTCGTCAGCCAACATTAAATTAGGTTATTCATTTGATCGCGAACTTTTCAGGCAAGTTTTGGACGTCTCTCTTGTTGTTGAGCGAATTTAATCACGCAAGTTGGGAAACTTTCGTGATGACATCTTTTTCCAATGAAGAGCGTACTCCAATTTTACAATACTTTAGTTTTATGTATTTGAAAAATGCGTTATAGTCAGTTGGCCAGTGTTCCTTAATTCTACGCATGTGCACGCAAAGTGGAAGTTATTTAGTGATCTCGTTATTTAGTCCAGTCAAATCATGATTAGGGTGGTCACTTCGCTCAACGAAACCAAGTGTATTCTATGTCAAAAAATCCGCTGAATTCGAAAATCATAGTCCTATTTTCTACACTTTAATTTTCGGGATTAGGTACTTTTTAGCGCATTTTTGAAAAAAATACGCTATTATATTCGTTATTGCTGGCAGGCCGGCTGTCCGCGTTAGATCTCCACAACTATAATAGCTAGAGACTTCAAATTTTCACTAAAAGCTTCCTGCTATAGTGTAGATGTGCAGGCACTAGTCTATTTTGAGTTAGATTACTTGTGAGATCGATAGTTGAAGAAAATAATTTCGATATGGGTTTCGGAGGTGCTATAATTTTACCGTTAGATAGCGCTACCAGTATAAAAACTTATTATTTACTTTGTGATTTGTTTTACAAAATGAAGACGTACCCTCAATTGAAATTAAATAAAATTAATTATTTAACGCAGCCAAAATTACTCGTGAGATCGATAATTTTAAACTTCGCTAATAAAATACTGACCTGCATTACCAAAAATGCGCTTTAATCATGCATATGCTGATTTACAACTTGTTCTATACTTTTACATAAAAAAAAACAATAATATTTGAAAATGAACGTTCCATACCAACTGAATCTTATAGAAAATTCGATCCTACTTAAATTCATTTCTGTTCATTCTTTTCCTCAGAGCAATAGTTAACGAGATAATTGAAATCGAATGCGCGAAAAACGACATTTTCCCGTTTTTTCTTCGTTTTTTGTTTACGACATTTTCCGGGAGTTTCCGGCCACGGGGGGCTATGATTTTCAGATTCAGCGAATTTTTATACATAGAATGCACTTGGTGTCGTTGAGTCAAATGGCAACATCCAGTGGGTGTTTCATCTATGATGAAATTGGCCTGAAACCCCAACAGAAGTGCTGAAAGTTGTCACCTGCGATTTTTTGTTATTGTAACATAAGGACAAGGTTGTTCTTTACACAAATCTTCCTAGGTGAAATAGATGCAATCTTGGGCTATTTATATTTTTGCGACTTTGTTTTCGATAGGCACTGACTTACAAAGCCAGGACTGAATTGCTCTCTCGTACCAAAAATTTTCATTGTAGAATGTTGCTTTCTTGCCGTCAGATAGCTCAATATAAAGGAAATCTTTGAACAAAACTTTATAGGAGAATGGACTTTTTGTGTTGTGTAATTTAAAGATTATCTCCGGTCAATGCGATAAGAGGTCGTTTATCGCTGGCTAAAAGTCAATTAAGTTGTAGACAAGTGAATGCTTTTTACGCCGATGTAAATACAGATGTGAGTGTATCGACTACGCGCAGGAAAAAGAAGGAAGGAAGGCAGAAATGTTTTAAATAGACAAAGCAGCCTTTGCTATTGTTTTTTTAGTGAGCATTTTGTTAAAAGACAGTCAGTCTTTTTGCTTAGTATTTTGATGCAAGACGTTCAGTCTTGGTGATAATAAAGTTGCTGTTGAAGGAAGTATGAATGTTGTATTAAGAGATTTAAGCAATAGAGATAAAAGCGAATAAAGGTATCTGATTTAATGAGTTCAGTGGTGCATCACGTATTCAAAGAAGTTTGTGTGTGTTGTCTTTATTGCAGTAATCGCAGATGCTTCCAAGTTAAAGTAAAGATCCACAGCCAAAAAAGCCACAATTACGTCTAAAATTACGTTGCTGCGTGGTATTTGCCTTCCGGCCCTGAGTGCCATTTTTTCTTACAGCTTTATTAATCCGTAAATGATCTATTGCGTGTTTAATCGAGCCTAATGTTAAAACGTTTTATATATTTTTTGGGATGGTCTATGATCTCTTTCTGCAATACAAATTTTCAACCAGATTGTAAAATTGCAATTGAAATCGGAAGCATGTTTAAATCGTCTCCTGTAAAAAGAACAATTTTTTACTACTGCATATGACCATAGACATAGAACATAGTACCTAATTGTTGCACAAGATATAAACAGGCACGTTCTTTGTTGTAAAGACAGAAAACCAGTGTTCTTCAATTTTCTACAAAACCCCATATACGTAAAAACCAACTGACTTTATTTTCCAGTGCAAAGTGCAAAGGCTTAGAAATCAATTGATTTTTTGTCGAATAATTGCTCAATCTTATATCCCACCAGATACTTTTTACACTCACTGAATCCTGCGCCGCAGCCTGTAACTGGTGATAGCTTTACCGTTAAAAAAAATTTGCGAAAATGTATTTCGTTCAATATACGGAAATTTGTACCGCTTCATAGCAAACCTGGACGTGAGTAGGTCTGGTGATAAGCGTAGCGCGTTTAGAATTAAATGTGGACTGGAAATCTAAGCGAACATGCAAGTATAAACTGTTTGTAGGTCTGAATTAAGCAGGGCCGAATTCAATTAGTGTAAAAAATTGACGCGAATAAACCGTTGAAGGAAACACATTGTGTCAAGTTACGTGTCGGTAAAATTACGAGAAAAAGAAATCATTAAATTATTACAAATGACTAGGGACATCTTAATTAAGCGTTTTCAACAAAAAATTTGCGGGAGAGGCCCGACATTTTCCACAATCTTATGACAAAGTTCACATAATTTCGTCGAAATGTGAGGTAATGTTACTCTGTATTTCATGATTACTTTTAAGTTGGTAAGGGTGTGCGTAACATTCCAACTTCATCTTCTTAGGAGGTTATGCTATTTTTCCACTATTTGAAACGTTAAAAATGATGTATAACCATACATAGGTGTCTAATTATACCATAATTATAGCAGTAAGTAGTTCTCTACATGATTTTCATTTACAGATGAGCAGCAATTTTTTAGCTTGAAATACGAATACTTCTGAAGATTGTCTATTACAACTTGATTGCACTCAATTTTTACAATCCTGTACGTAAAGGGTTCCATATATTGATCTGTCGAATCCGTCCTTTGAGACAGATCGAAACGATGAATCGATAGTGTATTTATTTATTTATTTATGTGTATGTCAAGATCGCTAACGATTTACTTAATCAAATGGGATTCAATGTTTGTCTCAGTCTGACGTACTGCTATTATCAGAATAACCAATTTAGCAACATTTTGAATCACATCTTAGAAAAGTGCCCTCAATAAATGGTAAATATTACATTAAAAATGGCTCACACCAAAATAATATTTATTTCACTTCGGTGATTTACAAGTATTGGAAGGGCGTCATGTTGAAGTCCTTGCAGTCAGATTGACAATGTCAGCAGTCGGTTCGAAAAAGGCGTTCGAAGTTAATCGGCGGTCGCTAACAAGGAGGTGGTCTATGGAAGCTGCGAAAGATATACCTTCTTCTTTCGAGTGATAAGGCGGCGGTCGATGCTAGTCACCGGCTGATATAAAAAGAAGGCGTTCGAAGTCGGGCGCTAACAAAGAAGCGGTCTATGGAAGATGCGAAAGATGTCCCTTCTCCTTTCGAGTGATAAGGTTTCCTCTCTCGGTGGTCGATACAGAAAAGGCGATCCTTGCCAGATGTAAAATATTACCCTCTCTACGACATTTTTCTTTCCTAGGGCATTCAAGTTTAGACGGTATGCGCTTCCAAAAGTGATTTTATTAAAGTGTATCCATATGAAATTCGGAAGTCTCGCTTATTTTGTGTATAAGCCGAACTAAACATCACGTACCCATAAAGCTCCTATCAGAGACATGCGGACAATTGACTTGCACATCTTGCTTACAGCAAAAGCCATTTAATCAACAGGCAAAATTAATATTCGGTGCAGTGGGAATTTGGTTTTTGATCCCAATGACTAAACCAGAGATTTTCTGTGTTCGCAATCAATACGGACTGCATCATGCCGAATTATCCATTCAACGAAAAGCATTATTACCAGGGCGATACCAAAAGTTCAATTGAACCGTCACGGAGTGATCCATTTTACAAATCTATAAGTTAAAGCTGTCTTGGTCAATAATATTAATTACAACCTGAAGAAAACACCAGTCTCATCCATAACTGTAAGTTACCTAAACTTTTTGTTTTGTATAAAATATTGGTTAGTTATCTTTTGGAAGTTGTTTAGTAATTTTATTTAACGTACCCATAATATTCCTAAAGAAACCGATCTGTGAAATTTAATTGCATTAATCGGATTTGTATTGCATTTGTTGATAATAATCAAATCCATACAAAGGTTATTTTTTCATTAGTTCGGAATTTGTGTTTAATTTCAGTGAAATATACTCGTATTCCTTTGGTTGGATTCAAATTTTGTTTAGCATTAAGCGGAGTGAACATATTTTGAATAGGAGAATATACAAGGAGTTTATTATGTAAAAAACGAAATTTTACATAAGCAGTGAATCTAGAATTGACACGTGTTCACCACAGAGGGGTTGTATTTTTTGTTACGAACCGAACTAATATTTCAAACAAGGAAGATGCAGAGGAAAACGGAATTATATTTCAAGCCTCGTTCTTCGAGATTACACATACGTAGTACCATGTTTTCGTACATTAAGCCACTAGTTCAAAGCATGCTTAAAAGTTTTCAACCTCCCGCTCTCCTCACACCCGCCGACGGCCCGATCGGTCTCGTTTCCCCTAACCTTCATACTTGTTTTTAGTGCGCGTCAAGCTACATCGGTGTTGTTATATTACGATTAAACCTTTTTTTTTTTTGTTGATAAATATGAGTAGTTTGAAGGATACGGAGTTATTAGATCGATTAAAAAGATTAGAAGATAAGTGTTTTAATCGACGTGCGAAAAAGCGTCCACGTGTGGTGCGACCGTTATCCTCCAGCTCTGAGTCAGAGAATGAAGAGTACAGCGGACCAACTATTTCCCCTTCGTTACGTGACGAGCCGTCAACACATAGTCGTTGGCATCTAGAAAACTTTACAGGTTAGTTGTATTTATTTTTACTTAGCTACCTGATGTATAGATGAAAAGGAAAGCACGATTTGAAATTTATTACGTATTTAGCTAGTGATATTGTATTGTTTGAGTTCTTGCTTAAGAAGAAACATAAACAATTATTTACAAGGTGAGCTTATTCATTAGATAAGACATACCTTGACAAGGCAATGGGAAAAATACTGTTTTTTATTGGGCCATAAAGCTGACACGAGAGGTCAGATAGGTACCAAATGCAAATTTGCTTTCCCAATTTCTCATACCTGAGTATCATAGTAATATGCCTTCCTCTAACTACAGAGCCGGCAGAGAGAAATTTGAATCTCGAATCAAGTTCCGAACGACAAAGCGAAATCGTGGTACCCATTGACCAAGATGTCGATCCGGATGATGAAATCCTTTTTTGTCTTGGCAAAGACCCTAAAAATACAAGCGCCGTAGAACATGCTTTACATCCGGAATTGGCAGCTCGCTGGAATATTTGGTTATCGGAGGGCATCCCAGAAGAATCCAAAAAAGAACTAATAGGAAAGTACAGCGTCAAAGGAAACTGTAAATTAAGTTCCCCTAAGCTAAATGCCGAATTGGAAACGCATCTTGCAGAATCTGCAAAAAGAAGAGACGTTCACTTCGTGGACACCCAAAATCTCATTGGCAAAGCAATGGCGGCATTAGGCTCCGCGATCACAATATTGTTTAAAAACAAAGAGGAGGGAGTGGACAGGCTCCAGCTACTGGAAACCCTTTGTGATACTGGCAAATTGATGGCTGAGGTTCACCACAACCAATCGTTAGCCCGTAGGGCGTTCATCTCTCCAGGACTAGAAAGAAACATTAAACCAATCTTGGAAAGAAACAAAATAGACGACTTTTTGTTTGGGAGCAACTTATCCCAAAAAGTTGATGAAGCAAAAGCTATTCAGAAGAATAGTTTGCTCTTTATTAACAATAAAAAGAATCCCCAACAACGAATTAGCAAAAATTTAAACTGGAAAAGCCCACCTGTTCGACGCAACAATCAATCAAGGGACAGTCAGGTGGGCTTCAAGACACAGACCTACAAGAACAACGCAAGCTTCCCTTATCCATCGAGAACAAAGACCATGCCGTATCCCAAAAGCAACCACGTGCGTTACCAGGTAGAAAAAAGGACACACCGTCAATATCGTCGTTGAAGGTAACGAAGATAGCAGGAAACCTAAAGAATTTTATAACCCAATGGAAAAAATTAACTTCCGATGATTTTGTAATCTCCTGTATTTCGGGTTATAGAATTCCTTTTGCGAGACCTGCAAATCAATTAGCGTCTCCTGTTGAACTTAAATGGTCAACAACCGACTATGCAAATATAATGTTAAGTGTTAGAAAATTATTAGATTGTGGGGCAATAGAACCTTGTAAAACCGAGAGGGATCAATTTATTTCCAGTTATTTTTTAGTACCAAAACCAGACGGCAGCAAACGCTTTATACTAAATTTAAAACAACTAAATACTTTCATTGATACAGATCATTTTAAAATGGAGGACATTCGTACTGTATCAAAATTACTATCCCCGGGTGATTTTCTAGGTTCTATCGACTTACAAGATGCATATTATATGGTACCAATACATTTAGATAGCAGAAAATATTTAAGGTTTAGTGTTTCGGGGAATCTTTATCAGTTTTGTTGCCTACCTTTTGGGCTAGCCACCAGCCCCTATGTATTCACAAAAATAGTAAAGCCCATAGTCACTAAGTTGAGAACAGATGGATATATCTCCACAATTTATCTGGACGACCTGTTATGTTTTGGAAATTCTTTTATCAAATGTTTACAAAATCTAGAAGCCTCAGTGTCTATCTTTTTAAGTTTAGGTTTTATAATTAACTACCAAAAAAGCAATTTAATACCTAAAAAGCAATGTCAATTTTTGGGGTTTCTCATTGATAGCGAAAAATTTTGTTTAAGCGTGCCCAAGAAAAAGATAGCAAAGTTGAGTATAACTTTAAAGAAATTTTGTCATAAAAAATCATCCACCATTAGGGAATTTGCTAGTTTACTTGGTTCACTGGTAGCCGTTTGTCCGGGGGTTGCATATGGTTGGATGTATTGTAAATATTTTGAGAGAGAAAAGTTCCTTGCCTTAACGTTAAACAATGGAGATTATAATGCAACGATGAAGATCACAAAAAACTTGACACCAGAATTTCTGTGGTGGTTAAAGAATTTACCCTTAGCTTGTAACCCCATCAAGAAATTTACATTTAAAAGAGAAATTTTCTCAGACGCGTCATTATCAGGGTGGGGTATATTTTGTAGTGGTCAAAGATCTTCGGGCTTCTGGAAGGAAGATGAACGGAAATATCACATCAATTACTTAGAGCTTTTAGCTGTTTTTCTTGCATTAAAATGCTTTGCAAGGTCTTTAACCGAGTGTGAAATTTTACTTAGACTGGATAATACAACAGCTATTTCCTACATAAACAGAATGGGGGGTGTTCAATATCCAGCCTTAAATAATCTTGCCAGACAGATATGGCAATGGTGCGAAAACAAAAAAATTTGGTTGTTTGCTTCCTACATACCATCCAAAGCCAACAGACAGGCAGATGAAGAGTCACGCATTACAAAAATTGATACAGAATGGGAATTGAATACTTTCGCTTTTAATCAAATTATAGACACTTTTGGACATCCTCAAGTTGATTTATTTGCATCTAGAATAAATGCAAAATGCAAAGATTTTTTCTCTTGGAAAAGGGACCCAGAAGCACTAGCAGTAGATGCGTTTACTTGTAGTTGGCGAAAAATTAATCGATTTTATGCTTTTCCCCCCTTCTCGTTAATTCTACGGGTCCTAAAAAAGATAATATTAGATGAAGCAGAGGGTATTTTAGTTGTACCATATTGGACCAGTCAACCATGGTTCCCTCTGTTTAATTCCCTGCTCATAAAAAAGCCTATCATTTTTAGACCGTCTGCTAAACTATTATTATCTCCTTGCAGGAAGGTACGTCACCCACTCTCGGAGAAGCTTACACTGATTGTAGGACTGTTATCAGGAAGGCGTACTACTTAAAAAATTTACCGGATTCGACAATTAATCTATTATTAGCTTCTTTAGCAGATAAAACTCTAAGACAGTATAATACAGCTCTAAGGCGTTGGTGGCAATTTTCGTTTCAAAAAAACCGTAACCCATTCAATGTTAGTACAGTACCATTGCTCGATTTCCTCACATACTATTTTGACGAAGGAGCTTCCTATGGCACTTTAAATACGGCTAGAGCAGCATTATCCCTTCTGTCGACTGACACCGTTACTAAAGACCCCTTAGTAACAAGATTTTTTAAAGGTGTTTTTAGAAAGCGGCCCTTAAAACCCAAATATTCAAACACATGGGACACTTCTTTGGTCTTAAAATATATTAAAACCTTGTACCCGTTAGAGAGATTATCTCTTAAATCACTAACTTTAAGAACTATAATGTTGTTAGCATTGGTAACCGCACATAGGGCTCAGACGTTCTCTTTAATTGAATTACCGAATATAGACATTTTGGATAACAAGGTAGAAATAAGAATTACAAAATTAATTAAAACTTCAGCACCAGGAAGACCACAACCACTGTTAGTGTTACCTTTTTTTCGTGAACATCCTATGCTTTGTGCAGCTAAAACTCTCATTATATATTTACGACAGACGGAACCCTTAAGAGGAGACATAAAAAGTTTATTCATATCTTTTCAAAGACCACACCGAGCAGTAGGCTCAGAAACAATAAGCAGATGGATAAAATGTGTATCCAAAAGTGGTATTGATGTAAACCAATTTTCAGGGCACAGTTCTAGACACGCAGCTACTTCGAAAGCGTTCAAGAAAGGTGTCCCTTTAGAAATAATCCGCAATACTGCAGGATGGACAAAATCTTCCGAAGTATTTGCAAAATTTTATAATAAACAAATAATAGAAAGTGAACACACATTTGCATCCGCTGTGCTTAACCTATAAGCGTATGTGAAAAGCTTTTTATAGATTTCTTAGAATAGAATTGTTTAAGTTGAAAATGTGATTAGAGTTATTTCTTTAGCATGTATGTATTTATATCCTGTAGTTAGAATAAAATAAGTTCATAGCCATAAATGTTTGTACAAAAAAAAAAAAAAAAAAAAATTAGCTCTAAAGATCTACGTATGTGTAATCATCTCGAACGAGGCTTTCATATAATTACGATCGAACTTCACAACAGGTAAGTTCGTTTGATCGTATAATTGGCTCGATTTTAATTCGTTAATATATTCAGTCAATTCATTCTACGTGCGTATTTATTCGAGTTCAATCAAACCAGAGCATCGAGTCTTGATTCTTAGATGTAAAGAAGAGAGAAAAGGCCAAACCAATTCAAACTTCCCCAAGGTAAGGGGCATTTAAAATTTTTATTGCCGTAGAAGTTCAATTTTATTTAATGCAAATAAGGATCTTCAACCTTTGTAAATGTAACTAAGCCTATTAGAGGACAGGGGTCATCCAACATGGGTATATTATAGGTGTTTCAGATTTCTACACTTCGCAGTGTAAACTAAGAACGCGAACTTTCAGCTGTTGTGTGAAGAGGGGGGTGCGGGGGGGGGGCGGGCGGACGCATGAAGTCACTCATGTAAGTGATCAGTATTTACTACATTCCGCATCATTTTTTAATAAGATTTTAGAATGTGAAAAGTTTCCTTTAACCACCTACATTTACAGGGATTTCTTCCAGCTGTCATAAACATCAAGCAACACAGTTTTCTTCAAGAGAGGTACTTTTTTATTTCTTAGAAATAATCATTCTTGCAAATAAACAAGGAATGTCCAGTGACCAGTTACCAGTCTACTACATCCTCTTCAGCACGAACCTAGAGTTACATGCATAGGTACTTAGTTCATTAATTAAAATTAAAGAGATGCGCTTGGAATCGATACTGAACGATAACCATTTATGGACTCGGGTTGCAATTATAAATACGAATATAGGAGACATGGCCCGTATATTTCAGTAATATATACTTAATGCAAAGAATAGTCATGTCTGAAAGAAGCTTCAAATGCATCAGATTATAATATCTAGAACCTATCCTGAAATTGTCGCATCTCACTAACGAATCGGTTACATTGATGCCTATCATTTAAAGAATATATGCAAAAGACGGTTTTTTTACCAAAATGCTGAGCTCGACCGGGATTTCGGAGATTTGTACAAAATTTCAGCTTTATTGGAAATTACACAATGTTGAATACGTTTTTCAGCTAGCCGTTCTGTTATATACAACCAGCGGGGTTGCATGTAAATCGAAATCGACTACCGATTGTCTTCCCCGATCTACACTAACAAAATATAAAGATCTGGGGGACTTTCATGCGGATTCTAAAAATATGCATCAGTTGCATATGCCCCCTATGAGTTAGATTTCAGTTCAAGAAATGTCTGTACGACCTAAATTCGGATGCGAATAATTGTCATTCGAAATTATATCAGTTCTCTTCGCACGTTGCGACATCTCATAAAATTTGCAAACTTCTAATGCATTCAGTACAGCCCATTTGTCGTCGGAGATATATTGCTTGAGATTGACATGGCAACAAAGTGAAACCGAATCTTATTTGTACCTATGGCATATTTAACGTTTCCGTGCGCTACTTGCAGTTGTTTTTTTCATGTTTACAGAAATAAACAACTTTGTTTCCTATCAGATGATTTATTACCTTAATGCCTTTGAATCCGCATGATTAATTGTTTTGGTTTGTGTGCGATGACCTGCACAGTCCTCACTTTTCAATGTAGAAGTAGGTATGCTTATTTGCTGGGAAATTAGTCGACCGCTGCGTTCATTTTAATTACAGCGTGTCTCAAGGGACAGTTTGTTCAGAAAGCATCCACTAGAAGTGATGGGTTGCTATTTGGTTAGTTACTGTTACAGTCCCTCATGTTATTCACCTTACTAATAGATCAATATGTTTATTATGTTTTGTCTGGCTGCAGCTTGGAAAAGTGCACGATTTAAGTAATATTAAAGTCTGTTTAAATTTATGCAAAGGAGGTTTCATAATATTCCTAACCCACGCTTGCCAACGCATTTATGCTTCAGCTTATTACGAGTAGATAGTTTTTGTGTACGGTGAATGCTTTATTTAATATAGGACCTCATAAAAGGGAAACTTGAACCTTCAGTGATTCTGGAACCCATATTCTTATCAATATTAATGCTTCAACTTTATTTAAATTCAAGAAGGAAG